TTGGTGAGTAGCAGAGATTCATTCAGAGGAGAAATACATTTTGGAAAACTTTGATCCCACTGGACTTTGATGATCCAAGAAGCATGAGCAAAGTTTTCATTGAGAGGAGGAGTATGTGATAAGCCAACAAAAGATAAGTGTTAGGGCAATATCAACAATCATTAATTATAAATATCATTTTCTTCCCCTCTGCTTTTTTTTCTTCTTTCCCCTATGCTTCTAAAGGCCAATGTTCCTTGTTAATTCTGCTGATGGAAGTAAGAAATACTATAACTAGATAGCCAAAACATAATATAAACAAAAACAGTAAAATAACAACAGTCCTCTGGAAGTAGAATGATACAAAGTATTTCATATGTAGTGACAAATTAAATTTCACATAATTTCATCCTGTATAATTATTTCCACTTTGTAGACAAGGAAACTGAAGATACAGTCTAAATTTAGCAGCAGTCCTTTAATATTAAGTGGCAGAGCTATAATCCAAGTTACTTTCATTAATTAATTCCAAAATTAGACTTCTTTCCCTGGATAGCTGGGCGCAGTGGCTCATGCCTGTAATCCCAGCACTCTGGGAGGCAGAGGCGGGTGGATCACCAGAGGTCAGAAGTTCAAGACCAGCCTGGCAAATATGGTGAATCCCCGTCTCTATTAAACTAAAAATACAAAAAAATTAGCCAGGCATGGTGGCATGGGCGCCTGTAATGCCAGCTACTTCGGAGACTGAGGCAGGAGAACCGCTTGAACCTAGGAGGCGGAGGTTGCTGTGAGCCCAGATTGCACGACTGCACTCCATCCTAGGTGACAAAGCAAGCCTCTGTCTCAAATAAAACAAAACAAAAACAAAATGAGAGTTCTTTCCCCGAGGAAAAGAAGCCACCTTAATACAATCGTGTCGCTAACAGAAAGGGAAAGATCTCACAGATCGCTCCATCCTGTCACATCATCAGCTCAACAAGTCAGCATGGTACTTTGGTACTGAAAGTGAGTATGGAGATGTGGGAAATTAGAACGTTATATAAGCTCTACATATTCTTTTAACTGAAAGCATTACATAGTGCCACAAACTAATATCGGTCTCAGACTTAGGCAACTGAAAAGTAAATAAACACAAACCACGTTTTCAAAAACCACATTATTATTTGGTTAAAATACATCACAGCACTGGCCGTATACTAGATTGTGTCTGTGAGGAGGAAAATGATGCCATCTTAATGTGGCATCTCCATGGGACACACACAAGGGACACACACACACATGCACAGCTAACACCAAGCTGACCCTTACTTCACATGGCCAAATACCTCATCTTCTCTTAGATGTGTACAAAGCACACATGGCTGTTTCCACAACCTGCTTTTGCCATAAATGACTGCCCAATAAAATAAAAACTAATGATTAACTTTTGCTCCCTGGCAATCACTGAATAAGAAAAAGATATTTCCTGAATAGCCTTTGCATACAGGGTACTGACTATCCCCAAGCTCTCCAAAGAAGCTTTAAAATTGTTTGCCCTTATAAGTTAGTCATAGAACTAACATAAATACATAACATAGAAGAGGTCAGTTCCTGAATTGAAATATTTACTAACCAGGTAGATATTTTTGTTAACTTTCCCTGAAAATGTCTCTTCTAACCAGCCTCTGCTTATGAAACATCTGGAGACTGGACAGTCATCAAACTCCCCCAATTCTGGATATCTGGAAGTGGCATTATTGTAGGGTCAATAATTATATATAGGTTCTTTGATAAGCACTAGAGATACACAGTCCATTAGGGAAGAAAAGCAAATAAATTAAGATCTCAAAGAGAAATAGGAATTAACCAGCTCAAATGAGAACTACCACAGCTGTGAAGAATTGCAAGGCTCAAATCCCAGAGCGATGAGGTGAACTGTTGCTTTAAATGGCAGATGGAAGGCTGAGAAGCTGAACAGAACTTTCAATAGACTCACAGCCTAAGGAAACAAAAAACTGGAGGTCAAGGCCCTCCAAGGTGGAAGATCTACAGTAAAACCCTTAGACTTTTGGTTGGCACCCTGAAGAACTATAACCAGGGGGAAATGGAAATAGAATGGCCCTTATAAGGACTGAAGCTCTCTTTCAAATCATCTCAATTCCTGACTAGATTGAAGCTCATCTGAAATAGAAGTTTCTAGAAGCAAAGGTAAGTCCTCTCCAGAGACACATCACACTATCTAGATCTCAAATAACCTCCATAATTTTTCACATCAAATGTCTGATACTCAGTCAAAACTAACCAGGCATGGGAGAAAACAAGATGTGACTGAAAGCCAAGAACAACAACAGAAACAGATCAACGTGGTACCAGATATTAGAGTTATCAGACAAACTTTAAAAATGATTACTGAAAAACACAGTGAAACAGCCCTGCACACTGACCAGAGCAGCTTAAATAAAACATACTAACAATATCGAGCACTGACGAGAAGAACAGTTTTTGTTCTTTTTCTTTGGCTAAAAGAGAGAAAGTAAACACAGTAAACTGTTGATATATGTTAAATCTATGTGGTAGGTACAGAGTTATCTATTATGCTATTTTCTGTACCATTCTGAATTTTTGTAACATTTCATAATTAACTCTTTAAACAAAAGATGTGGCTAGAGAGACCAGCGAGGGTTAAATTATTTTAGCCTTCAAAAGTCATGTTCAGGAATTTATAAGCATAAATCTGACAGATGCAGTGTCCTACATCTCTAATCCCAGCACTTTGGGAGGCCAAGATGGAAGGATTGCTTGAGGCCAGGAGTTTGAGACCAGTCTGTGTAACAGAGCAAGACCCCATCTCCACAAAAATTAAAAATAGAAGTAATAAGGTCAGGCATGGTGGCTCATGCCTGTAATCCCAGAACTTTTGGAAGCCAAGGTGGGCCTGAGATCAGGAGTTAACAGATTAGTCTGGCCAACATGGCGAACCCCTGTTTCTACTAAAAATACAAAAATTAGCTGAGCATGGTGACAAGCACCCGTAATCCCAGTTACTTGGGAGGCTGAGGCATGAGAATCACTTAAACATGGGAGGCAGAGGCTGCAGTGAGCTGAAACGGAGCCACTGCACTCCAGCCTAGGGGATCGTGTGAGACTCTTGACTCCCCCCAGAAAATAATAATAACAAAAAAATAAAAAGATAAAAGTAATAAGTTTTAAAAAATAATTTATACTTTATTATTCAGATAGGAGGCATTAAAGGATTTTAAACAGAGGAGTGACTTGCTCTCCATGTAGATCAGTCGAGTTGCAATATAGCAAAGAAAGGAAAGGCAGGGAGCCCTCTGGGAGGCTGCTGCAGTAACCTAGATGAGGGATGATCATGGCTTGTCTGCTGGCAATAAAGAAAAGCTGTAAAGACCTGAATTATGGAGTATCAATTGTCCAAGGATTTGGGGGTTAGTTCTCAAAACTGTTGAATTATATCCCAGTCAAATGAGGAAGCAAAGGAAGTCACTGGGACAATGAGAAACCTAAAATGGGAACAAATTCATTAGTGTAAGGGCAACATCCAGGATAAAGCCTGGGACTGGTGAAAAGAAAAATGAATTTTTCTGTAAATCCTTAGAAGAAACACAAGTAACTCTAAAACTGAAAGCTAACAAGCACACAGCTTGACACCAGATGGTCAGATAGATACATTCACAACTTGCCAGCATTCTAAGGCCTGGCACACCCCCTTCCAAGCATGCAGATGCTTTTATCCGAGAGGAAAAAAATTCTATTTCTGATTCTGACAGCAAATGCCAAGTCACATCTTGCCAGTAGAAAATGACATCTCCCAACTACAAACCCACCTAGAATTTTACAACCGTATTCTCATTTTGACCACTACTTCCACCAGCCCTGCCAGAAAGTGAAAGAAACTGAGGAGGGATGAGAGTTTCTGAAGAACTCAGCTTTTTTATCTGTACCCCCCAAAAAGTAGATCTGTTTCTCTAGATTATTCATGAGCAGCCCACACGTAATTCTGTGAAGAAAAATTAAGCATATCAAACAACTTTACTTCCATATTCTGAAAAATTAGCCTCAGGCAGAGTCTATTTCTTCAATTGCTCCGTAATCCTATACTGAGAAGACACTGAAGAATTAATTTTCTTTATTGTTACCCTTTGAGCCTTATCAAAAGGTTCCAGTTTAAAATTAAGCACATCAAGTACCCAGTCTAGCTAGTTTGGTTATAAATATACATTCTTGGAACTGACTTATGAATGACTACTTTGCTGGAGATGGGATTTTTGCATGATATTTTCCCCCCAATCTGTTCACACCATAAAAAATATTCAGAGATGTTCTTTTTAAAAGAGGCACTTTCCACACACATGCCCATGTAGCGTCTCAATTTTTACATATTCTGCTGGGTAGTTTGGTTTTAGAGGCAGGGTAGTATACTATATGCATTCAACATTTTTCACATGCCATAATAAGTAAAACTTAGACAAACACGATTGTCTTCGGTTACCAAAGTATATGATGCACTGGCCTGACGTACTAAGAGGTTCAGGAATTAATTAAATGACACAACTTCCTGCTTCAACATTTAACCAGATAACACCCTTTCTCATTCTCTCCAAACAATGCTGCTGAATCAAAATTTCAACCCATCAGAACTCAGATACTAGACGCATGATAAATACCATCTAGCAGATCTTAATAGTTAATAATAAAACAGTAATGAACGTTATAGTTACTTATATATCATACTTTGATCAAATTTATGAGACCGAATATAATTTCTAAAGTTATAGGCAGATTTCCTCAAGTAGTTAGCACCTTCACAATCCAGGAGAAGATAAGATGCTCACAGACATTTTTACAAATGCTCTAAGGTTGAAATAAGAAACATGTGCTTAACGTCACTTTGGGGAAATCCCAATATTAATTTACAGAGTATGTAAATATCTCTTGGAAACACATGAAATTCTGGCTGCAAATTGCCCAGAGGACGGATGCTACCATTCCAAGATACGTGCTCTGCAAATAATACTCACTGGGTTAAGTGTTTCTTCCACAGAATGATGAACAGTCCACCAGTCTGAAGTCCATTCCCATGCATTCCCCACTATGTTGTATAAGCCATAACCATTGGGAGGAAAGGCATCAACCTAAAAATAAAGAAAGGAAAAACACTGTCAAACTATCCACCTGGTTTAGAAAACGTCTTCAGTGCAGAAATACAAGAGCTTTAATTTCAGAGTATGAACATTGATTTTTTATTCTAATAGTCAAAGTACAATTTGGCCAACATAAAGACAAAGAAAAAGGCATTATTTGTTTTGGCTTTGAGCTCTTAGAGGGATTTAGAAATCTAAAGAGAGTTTATATTAAATGGTATAGAAGGCAGAGAAATTATTCCTAATAGAGTGACTTAATATTACCATAAATCAAAAATTTATATCAAACATTGGGTGAGTAGGGGGAGAATAGATGATACTTAGACTTTCAAAATCATTCACAGGAAAATCCCGTTGGATCCAATATGAGTTATGTCATCAGAGTTCAGCGTTGCTGGCCACACAATGTCTTTTAGCACCAAGAGACCCCCAGCTCTGTCTTCTCCCCAAGTTTCCACCAACTCATGATCTGAAGCCTCAATACTTAAGGCGATTTATTTTTTTAAAGAAAATGTGAATTCATTATCAAGTGTATTTGTAATAGAGGATTTTTAGTCTCTGAAACCTGAAGTCTGGGGCAAACTATATGCATTCTTCAGCAGAAAATTATACATTTCAAAGGCAAGTCAGACAGTCTGCCACATAATACTGTCACAAATACAGGACCAAAGTGTAGAGTTTTTATAAAAGCGGGGAGGGCAAGAGAAAAAAAAACCTTTACCTGAAACAACAGTAAATGCAGAACAGTTTTGCTGGCTTAATGACTTACTGTTTCTCCCAGCTTCTTAAAATGGAACTTCTCAAACATAAAGGAAAATTTCATTTTTAAAATGAAAAAATATACACATATCAAGCAATTTGGGGGGTTTTAAAAATCTTTTTGTAAGTCCATGCTTTTGCCGTACTAAATGAAGTAGGATGGAAGAAATGAATAAAGTAAAATTCATTCCATGTGGCTTCAGATGGTTTCACATCTACACATGAATATGGAAGCATCTGATGCTTCCGCAATTCAGAGCACTCCAATCAAAGTCACGAAGCTACTGTGAAAAGAACTTAATCTGGATGAGTTGGAAAGCTGAAAATTCTCACCACACTGCTTCCAAAATCAGCAATCATTATGGAAACAGCAGTACTTATTCATTGGTTCATTCAGTAATTCCATGCACAGTGACTAAAGGCAGGGAGTGTTTCAATGACAAATAATGAATGACCTCATCTAGTTTAATGAGGGAGAAAAAAATATATACCCAAAACTCAAAATCCAATTCTGAAAGGCAGAATGGGATGAGTGGGGTAAGAGAGGGAAATAAAAGGTCAGAGAAATTCGTAAGAGGGAGAAATTTCTGGCTGAAGGCATTTTCCTTTACGAAAGTAGAGTTGTCTGGGCAGATTTTGAATGGGGCTCAGAGTTCAAAAGAGAAGAAGAGGCTGCAGGCATAAATTACTTTTTGAAGAATTTGGAGATGATCAAAAAAGAGCATGGTAGAGTAATAGCTGGAAGGAATAGGAAGAAAAAGAAGAAATTCAGTTCTTTTAGGAGCCAGGTTATCAAGTGGAATTAAAAGATGAAACAGGCCGAGCACAGTGATTCATGCCTGTAATCGTAGCACTTTGGGAGGCCAAGGTGAATGGATCACCTGAAGTCAGGAGTTCAAGACCAGCCTGGCCAACACGGTGAAACCCCATCTATTACAAATCCAAAAAAATTAGCCAGGTGGGCACGCGATGTGTGCCTGTAATCACAGCTACTCAGGAGGCTGAGGTAGGAGAATTGCTTGAACCCAGGAAGAAGAGGTTGCAGTGAGCCAAGATGGCACCACTGCACTCCAGCCTGGACAACAGAGCGAGATTCCATCTCAAAAAAAAAACAAACAAACAAACAAACAAAAACAGATAAAACAAACACTGGAGGAAGGAATCATTTTCCAGACTTATAGAGCACAGGTGGAGGTGCCCTCAAATCAGTGTGCCTGAGGTCCTATCTGTGCACCAATACTATTTTGTTTTTCAGACAGGGTCTTGCTCTGTCGTCCATATTGGAGCACAGTAATGCAATCACAGCTCACTGCAGCCTGAACCTCCCAGGCTGAAGAGATCCCCAGCTCAGCCTCCCAAGTAGCTGGGACCACAGTTCATGCAGCAACAGACCCGGCTAATTTTTAAAATTTATGTGTAGTGATGCAGTCTCCCCACGTTGCCCAGGCTGGTCTTGAATTCCTAAGCTCAAACAAATCTCTCATCTCAGCCTCCCAAAGTGCTGGGATTACAAGCATGAGCCACCAGACCCAGTGACACCAACAGCTAACAGCTAACATTAGACAAGCAACTTAAGCTATATAGGTGCTATTTTGTCTGTAAAATAGGAAAAATAATAGTACCTACTCAGGGTTTGGGTATTTTTTTCTTTAGCCACCTTAAATAATTTGATGTTTAAGAGGTAAAATGTGGAGGTCACCGCCCCTAAAATTACTATAGGTGAGCATGCCACTAAGGAAAATACAAATTTTAACTGCCTGTTGTTAAACTAATCCACTAACCAAAGCTTCCTCTTAGGAAACTCAAATGCAAACAAATGTATATGAGAATATTCCTGGCACATTTTCAGATGAATGAGGTGATATGCATTAAAGCCAAAACTAATCACTGGGTAACAAGCAGCATAGCAAAACGTAAATTCTTTCGACTCACTGTGGTCAGAAGAGTTTGCTCCGTATAAAATCAGATCTAGCTGGGTGCAGTGGCTCATGCCAGTAATCCCAGCACTTTGGGAGGCTAAGGCAGAAGGATAGCTTGAGGCCAGGAGTTCAAGACCAATCTGAGAAACATAGTGAGACCCCATCTCCACAAAAGAAAAAAAATTTTTTTTTTTTTACACAAAGTCTAGCTCTTGTCACTCAGGCTGGAGTGTAGTGTCCCATCTTGGATCACTGCAACCTCTGCCTCCCAGGTTCAAGTGATTCTGCCTCAGCCTTCTGAGTAGCTGGGACTATAGACTTGCACCACCATGCCCAGCTAATTTTTTTTTTTTTTGTATTTTTAATAGAGACGGGGTTTCACCATGTTGGCCAGGCTGGTCTCAATTTCCTGACCTGGTGATCTGCCCGCCTAGGCCTCCCAAAGTGCTGAGACTACAGGCATGAGCCACCATGCCCAGCACACACACAAAAAGTTTTTTTTAATTAGGCAGGCATGGCGGTGTGTACTGCAGTCCCAGCTACTTGGGGGGCTGGGGTAGAAGGATCCCTTGAGCCCAGGAGGCCGAGGTTGCAGTAAGCTGTGATCATGCCACTGCACTCCAGCCTGGGCGACACAGCAGGACTGTCACATATAAATAAATAAAATCAGACCTGAAATAATAAATATATAAAATATTAAGTCAGCGAGCTATTTCCACATGGGCCAACTCATCATGAAAGTTAAATTCCTGCTCCAACAGACCAGAGCATGTGGACACAAAAGAGCAGCTTAGGTGGACTTGAGATACTATGGGTAAACAATTTCCATAAGATAGAGATCTCATTAAGTCTCATTGTAAACACAGACGGCAGCTGTCTCTTTCTGGCTGGCTTGCTTGCTTTCTCCTCTAGCCCTGTTTGTCAAATTGGTTCCTTCAGGGCTCCCAGTAAATGTTCTCATTTTGTTTTAGCAACTTCCATGGCGGCTTCTTCAGGTAAATTTCCTACACATATGCTGAACTTCCAGTCAAATATTCCAATTCTAAACATCTGTAGAGTGTCCTTATTTCATACTGAACATCATGTTTTCTGAAAAGGTACACTGATTTTAGAAGAATAAATGGCTCTATTTTCCTTTTTCCATGTAATTAAATAGAAAAGAAACTCTGTAGCTCCAAGTGCTGTCAAATATGCATAACTATCCAAGACAATCTTGTCAAGGCCCTTTGCTAAAATGAACAGGCACTTATATCATTTGTTTTGTTCATCAAAAATGCTTAACACAGGCCAGGCACAGTGGCTCATGCCTGTAATCCCAGCACTTTGGGAGGCCGAGGCGGGCGGATCACGAGGTCAGGAGATCGAGACCATCCTGGTCAACCTGGTGAAACCCCGTCTCTACTAAAAATACAAAAACTTAGCTGGGCCCGGTGGCGCGTGCCTGTGGTCCCTGCTACTCGGGAGGCTGAGGCAAGAGAATTGCCTGAACCCAGGAGGCGGAGGTTGCGGTGAGCCGGGATTGCGCCATTGCACTCCAGCCTGGGTAACAAGAGCGAAACTCCGTCTCAAAAAAAAAAAAAATAAATATATAAAAATTAGTTGGCAGAGGGAGGCTGAGGCAAGAGAATCGCTTGAACCCAGGAAGCGGAGGTTGGAGTGAGCCAAGATCATACCACTGCACTCCAGCCTGGGCAAGAGAGCAAGACTCCATCTCCAAAGAAAAAAGTAAAGAAAGAAATGGCTATCACAGGCTTGTCCAAATGAGGGCCTCGAAGGTCATCACCTGTGTCTTTGGAATGGAGCTCACCTATCTTTCAGGACTAACTGATCCTGTTCAACTGCTGATCACATGGACCCTTCCACACTTTGGCTTTCAAAGCACTTATTTGAAATCTGCTACGAGGACAACTAAGAACTGCATCTACTGCTCCACCCAGGCCCATACCTAGGCTTCAAGTTTTACCGCAGCTGCCTTGCTTGTCACAGCCCAGCAAGCGTGAGGGGATCCAAGCTGCTGAGATCGTTTTTCTGCCAGTGTCTCTAGTGTGTCCACTGCCTAAGAAAGCCAAACATGAGCAGTGCCATTCATTTTCTGGGTTAGTTGCATCCACAGGTCAGTTGTTACACACCCCTTAGCAGATTCTGACTTTAATGGCCACTGTCTTGCTGTCTGTAACAACCAACACCGTTCTTGAGGTCTAATGAGCATCCGCAGCAGGCACCTTCACTGATACTCCATGCATCCGGCAGTGCCACTTCTGCTGACCAAAAGCAGCCCACTGGGCACCCTCATTCCACGTCCAACTCCATACCAGCAAGCTGGGCTTCCTACTCATTTAAAGTTTGAGGAAAGATTGAGATCATTTCCTCCCCAAGACCTACTTGATCAAATAAAATGATTTGCCTGCAAGAGTAGCAGCGCATTCTAAGGGAAACTTCGGAGCTGCTAGGTTTGATAAGTCATTTGCCTGCTGCTACTAAATAATTCACCCATTTCCCATGGGTTTGTGTTGATTTATTATATATGAAACTCCCATATATGGAAATATATATATATATATATATATATGCACTCATATACATATTTAAGGGATACTCTCATGCAATTTATTTCTTGTATTAATAAATGCTTTATTTATTTATTCATTCATTCATTTAACTGATACAGAATCTTACTCTGTTGCCCAGGCTGAAATGCAGTGACACAAACTTGGCTCACTGCAATCTCTACCTCCTGGGTTCAGGCAATTCTCCTTCCTCAGCCTCCCACATAGCTGGGACTACAGGTACCCATCACCACATCCAGCTAATTTTTATATTATTAATAGAGACAGGGTTTCATCATGTTGGCCAGGGTGGTCTTGAACTCCTGACCTCAGGCGACCCACCGGCCTCAGCCTCCCAAAGTGTTGGGATTATAGGCATGAGCCACTGTGCCTGTCCCAAAACTATAATGCTTTAACTACTATTGCTCAAAATAATTGTTCATTTCTGTTAGGTCAAGTGTCTCTTTGCTCTTCATCTTTTCCAAAAATCTTTTTCTTTCTCTCTTGCTTGTTTGGTTTTTCAGTTTAAATCTTGGAATCACTTGATGATGTTTCCAATAGCTACCTATGTCACATTTAGAAATAAATTTTGATCCCTGCACTTTGGGAGGCTGAGGTGGGTGGATCACTTGAGGTCAGGAGTTTGAGACCAGCCTGGCCAACATGATGAAACCCCACCTCTACTAAAAATACAAAAAATTAGCCAGGTGTGGTGGAGGGTGCCTATAATTCCAGCTACTTAGGAGGCTGAGGTGGAAGAATCACTTGAACCCGGGAAGCGGAGGTTGTAGTGAGTAAAGATGGTGCTACCACACTCCAGCCTAGGTGATGGAGCAAAACTCTATCTCATTAAATTAAAAAAAAAAAAAAAGAAAGAAATTTTGGAAGAATGATTATTCCATGAAACAAAAAGGCTAATATATTTTTAAATAACTACTGCTTGAAGGGTTGATGAAAGAAAATTATTCTCTGTAGGAACAAACCCAGTAAAGGGCTGTTTCTCGACCACAAGATTTCTTTTCTCACAGTGTTAAGAAAAAAATAGAAATGTTGTTGCTATGCTTTGAATAATAATGTCCCTTCAACAATTTATATTGAGACTTAATCCCCAATGCAACAGGATTAACTTTTTTTGGTTTTTTTGGAGATAAAATCTTGGTCACCCAGGCTGGAGTACAGTGGCGCAATCTCGGCTCACTGCAACCTCCACCTCCTGGGTTCCAGTGATTCTCTTACCTCAGCCTCTCAAGTAGCTGGGATTACAGGTGCCCCTCCATCACACCCAGCTAATTTTTGTATTATTAGTAGAGACAGGGTTTCACCATGTTGGCCAGGCTGGTCTCGAACTTTTGACCTCAAGTAATCCACCTGCCTCAGCCTCCCAAAGTGCTGGGATTACAGGAGTGAACCACTGTGCCTACCTGCAGCAGGATTAATTTAATTCCTACATGCAAGTATGGCCTCTGAGGGTGTGACTATATCATGAGGGTTCCTCCCTCATGAGTGGGAATAGCGCCATTATAAAAGTGCTCAAGATTGAAGGGAGTACTCTTCCCCTTCTGCCTTCTGCCTTCTGCCAGATGAGGACACAGCATTAGTCTTCTCTGGCAGATGCAGCCAACCCAATCATACTGGTCCCTTGATTTTGGACTTCCCAGCCTCAAGAGCTTTGAGAAATAAACGTCTATTATGTACAAATTATCCAGTCTGTGGTATTTTGTCACAGCAGCAAAAAGGGTCTAAGACAGTCTTTAACATGGCTTTATGAGTATATGATTATGCCAGCAAAAGAATGGTGAGAAAGGAACTCTTGTACACCCATAGAGGAAAACATGCCCCAAGCCTTGTAGAAAATAACTCAACCATATATCTGAAACTCACCAAGAAAGTTTTCTAGCCTTTGACTGAATTATTTCACTGCAGGGAATTTATCTTTAAAAAATCATCAAAGGGCTGTATGCGGTGGCTCACACCTGTAATCCCAGCACTTTGGGAGGCTGAGGCGGGAGGATCACCTGAGGTCAGAAGTTTGACATGAGCCTGGCCAACATGGTGAAACCCCATCTCTACTAAAAATACAAAATTATCCACGTGTGGTGGTGTGCACCTACAGTCCCAGGTACTCAGGAGGCTGAGGTGGGAGAATTGCTTGAACCTGGGAAGTGGAGGTTGCAGTGAGCCGAGATTGCACCACTGCATTATAGCCTGGGTGACAAAGTGAGAATGTGTCTCAAAAATAAATAAATAAATAAAATAGCTCAAGGTTGAAGGGAGTGCTCTTTTGCCCTTCTTCTGCCTTATGCCAGAGAGGACACAACATTAGTCCCTTCTGGCAGATGCAGCCAACATCAATCATGCTGGTGCTTTGGTCTTGGGCTTCCCAGCCTCCAGAACTGTGAAAAATAAATTTCTGTTGTTTATAAATTATCCAGTCTGTGGTATTTTCTTACAATGGCACAAAGGGTCTAAGACATTCTTTAACATGGCTTTATGAAAGTATATGACTATGCCAGCAAAAGAATGGTATACACCCATAGAGGAAAACATGCCCTAAGCATTCTGGAAAACAATTTGGCCATATATCTAAAACTCTTACCAAGAAAGTTTTCTAGCCTTTGACTAAATTAATTCACTGCTGGGAATCTATCTTTCAAAAATCGTCAAAGGCACAGGTTAATATTTATGTACAAGATGTTCACTGTAGAAAAGAAATAACCTGTTTCTGGCAAATACATTAGGGTTCATTTATAAAATAGGGTTCATTTCCAGATGCTGAAGGATAATGTATTTGTGGCATACTGCTAATGACAGATGAAACATTTCTGATACAGGCAGGAAAAAAATAGTAGAATTTAAAATACTATATCAACTGACCTAAATGCATTATGTAAAAATAATATGATACATATACATTGGAAACACATATGCTGGCAAATATGGTAGTTAAGATCATGGGCTTTGGAAATAAACCGACCTGGTTCAAATCCCAGCTGTGCCGCTTTCCAGCTGTGTAACCTTGGGCAAGTTAGTTAACCTCTCTGTGCCTCAGAATGCTCACCTGGAAAATGGGGATAATAGTACCTACCTTACAGAGTTGAATGGACAGTAAATGAGATAATTCATGCAAATGGCATAGCACTACGCCCAGCACATTACCAGCACTCAATAACTACGAGTCATTACTAGAATCATCAACACAGAGAACTAACGAGAAGAAATGCGCTAATATGCTAACGGGGGTTATTTCTGGGTGGTAGAATTCCAGGTCAGTTTAGTCTTCTCTTTTGTACTCTTTCTGTTTTTCCAAATATTCTGCAATAAGAATTACAGAATCAGAAAAGAAAATCCACTATACAAAAAAGAGCATCTGATGAATTATTAGTATTTGCAATGTGCAACAGTGAATGGACATACGAAGGCAACACCATGTGAGTCAGAAAGTGGGCAATGCCTTTCACCCCGTGTCTACTGGGAGCCTCAGTTCTCAGCAGCTGCTGCCCTCCTGCAGAGGTCTCATTACTCACGGGCGCAGTTCCTTGGAAGCCATCCTCGCCAGTGTTGGTCACCGGAAACTCGCCCTGCCAAATGTTGGCATAATGCTGGCCTTTGGGCTGCAGTTTGTTGCCCCAGGGGAAAAGTCTGTTAGAAGAGACACAGGCATCAGCCTGTCAAACAGGCACAGGTTTTGGATTAAAGTCAAGAGAAGGGATGCAATGAAAAAGAGAACATTGCTCGCTTGTTCTGGGTGAACCTTTTTAAAATATATATAAATAAGTAAAGCTTTTAATCAGGATTTATTTTAAATTTCCTTATAACTTCCCATGTCAAGCTCACAACAGCCTCAGTCTTGCCCAGGTACTCAGGAGGCCTGAAATAAATCACAAAACTAAAAGAAGGACTTATTGAAAGCTGAGAGAGTAGACCTCATTTTGGACTTATATGGTAGTGTGATCAGGCACCATCACACCACACTTTTTTATAAAGCCTGGGCTATTTTAAGGAGGTTTTCCTAGAAGATGTGAACCCAACATGAGTTTTCTATCTCATGGCTCTAGAAGCAGAGAAATACTGCTGCTTCAGGAGATGCCTAAAATAAGAAAATGCTAAAAGCAAGGTAGTCTGCCAAGAAGCTCTAAGCAGTGATACGTAACTCAGGGGGGTTGAATTGCTAGGACTTGCTTTGGGACTGGAGGGAGCCCAGATGGCCAGACACTGGGTTTGAGGGTAATAAAAGGTTTGCAATCCATTCTCCAGTGTCTTCTAAGTAATTTTGTGGAGATGAGGAAAAATCAATAAGAAAAAGAATTATTGTCGTTATTGACCTTCTGACCAAAGTAAGTTCCACAGAGTTTTTGTTGCTTGTTTGTTTAAATGATCAACATATTGTCAGGCAAGATGAGACCCTCTAACTACCTATTGTGCAGGCCTCCTCGACAGCTGTATTCCCACTCAGCTTCCGTGGGCAGCCGCTTCCCTGCCCACATGCAGTAGGCAACTGCATCGTTCCAGGAGACGTGGAGAACTGGATGATCTGGCCTGGGGAAGAGCGAAAATAGAGTGAAAAGCAGCACCAGCCAGAACAGGAAGCAGGAACTGGCTTCAGCAAAGCGCTCATAATCCCTCCCAGTTCAACCTGTGACGCTGAGGTCATCCTGGTCCTGAAGTCAAACCTTAGCCATGCTACATCTGTCACCCTCCACCCCAGGATTCTGACAATCCAGTATCCCAAATGGGTTACACTGCCACTAGGAGCTAGACTCAAAACACTTCTTCACTTTGTAGGCTTGGATTCCCCTAGAATTTCATTGGTATGGCAGATGCGGAGATAATCCAGTTGCTAGAAGGGCCATCAGCAGAAGCTTCCAGCTCCTTTGGGGTTTAGCAGAGCTGAGAGCCATCTCAGAGCCACCGATAACTGACCACAGCAGGGGCATACAGCCCCAGCCATTTCAGCCTACTGTGGCTCAACCTATGACCATATACACCATAGAGCCCCATGTGTTGTCTGGAACTTCACTGGGCCTGCATTGTGGCTGTGGCTTCTCCCTCTGCTCTGTCCTGCTCTGGCTCCCTCCTTTCCTCAGTTGTGGGGACCTAACATTTTTGCATCCCAAACTCTATCTAAGCTGTTTCCAGAGTACCCAACCTGTGATTCTGGCTTTCAATTCTGTGTCTTTCTATTTTTCCTCTACAGGTGGCTAGTCTTTTTTTCCTGAGGGTATAAAAAAAAAAAAAAAAAAAACAGAGAATGAGGGGACAGACCCATTCACCCAGCACTAGATGGCTTTGGTTGAATTCCCTGCTCACTTTTTTTAAAGTGGGCTACACATTCCTAGTTCATTCCTTATATACCTTTGAATTCCCCATATTAATTACACCAGGGCTTTCATTTATTCTTTCAACAAACATCTACTGAGTATCTACCATGTACCAGTCAGTGTTGCTAGCACAGACAAGAGATGTACCCTTTCCAAAGACCCAGTTGGTGTTGACTACATGAATAACATACATTCCCCTTTGGATTTTCCTTCCTCCTTTAGCTTTTCCCTCTGTAACTAAATTCAGGAAAGCAGATATGAATTGGGAGCTAAGGCGCCAAGTCCACCCGAGGAGCCCAGGAATCCTTTACTTTCTACTTTGAAGGCTAATTTCAACACAGAGACTTCCAAGTCAGGCTTTGAAAGACATCTGATATTTGTCAAGGGGCTTTATCTCTAAAGCTGAACTTCCTGTACTCCTAGCTCTCAGACAATAAGGGCAATAACCAGGAATGTTGTTAAAAATAGAGGCTTAAAAATTGCATCTGAAAAATTAGGTTAGGAGAGCAGGTTTCTTGGGCTGTTGAGATGCTGAGTCCTAACTCAAACTCTGCTCCATCTCCAGGGTTTAAAGTGTTACTCTATTTTTGCTTGAGATAATTATTTCTTTGCCACCCTGGAGACTTGCTGACCGACTTGGCTGTCTGTAGTTTTCCAGTTAGATGGTGGCTTCAAAGAATGCCAATCCGGGACTAAAGAGCATGTGAATCCTAAACCCAAGGCCTGGGCTTCTACAGTGGCAACCTGGCAGGACACAACTATTTATCTATAAGACAGACATCTTCTTCCTCAAAATGACCCACTAATAGAGAGAACAGAACCAGAGTATAAAGATTAAACATGTCGGCCAGGTGTGGGGGCTCACGCCTATAATCCCAGCACTTTGGGAGGCCCAGGTGGGTGGATCACAAGGTCAAGAGATCGAGACCATCCTGGTCAACAAGGTGAAACCCCATCTCTACTGTGCTCTAAAAATACAAAAATTAGCTGGGCATGGTGGTGCATGCCTGCAGTCCAAGCTACTCGGAAGGCTGAGGCAGGAGAATTGCTTGAACCCAGAAGGTGGAGGTTGTGGTGAGCTGAGATCGTGCCATTGCACTCCAGTCTGGGTAACAACACCAAAACTCCATCTCAAAAAAAAAAAAAAAAAGATTAAACATGTCATGAGGTTTGCAACATGCCTCTCAACGGGAGCAGGGAGGGCTGGGTGCAGTGGCTTACACCTGTAATCCCAGCACTTTAGGAGGCCAAGGCGGGTGGATCACAAGGTCAAGAGATGGAGACCATCTCGCCAACATGGTAAAACCCCATCTCTACTAAAAATACAAAAATTAGCTGTGCATGGTGGCATGCACCTATAGTCCCAGCTACTCGGGAGGCTGAGGCAGGAGAATCACTTGAACCCAGGAGGTGGAGGTTTCGGTGAGCCAAGCTCACACCACTGCCTGGACACAGAGCAAGACTGTCTCAAAAAGGAAAAAATAAAAGGGAGCAGGGAAACCTGGAAGAGGTAACTCTTTGACAGGCCAAATGAGGAAGGAAAGAGGCCACTAATTAAAAGCCTTCTTATGAGCGAAGTACAGTGTTTCGTTTTTTACATACATTATTTCCCACCATATTACTTTCCTACCAATCAAGTAGAGTTTGTCACTCTCACTATTTTACAGATGAGAATGCCCACTGGGTTATTTTGAAAGAGCAAAGGGTATCTATTTTAGAATGGAATATGTCAACTGGGAAGGAGGGACCAGCCTCACCTGTGCCGAATAGTAGAGCCGGGCCCTTCTGGGTGTCTCCAGTTAGCACCTTTCACAGGTAACCACCAGGGAGCAGCTGCAACCTCAAAGCAACCCAGAACAAGCTGGTATTAGCTACAACTCTAGAAAAACATCGACTCAGTACATGCAACAAAAATCTCAGTCTTCAACTTCCATTTGGATTACCAAACAAATACATCTACCAGAATAGCAAAATAAAGACTTATATGTAAATAACTCTCTAATAAACAGTATTGCTTCATATCATAAAGCATCACAGTGAACAATAAATATGTATTCAAATGGTGTATATCCGTAAGAATTTTTTTTAAGTGCATGGCTAGCCAATCCTATGTAATCTCTGACAAGGGAGACAGGTAGTACTGCTGCTATTTAAAAGATGAGGAAACAGAGTTAACCTTACAACTAAATGCGAGGCTGAAGGTCAATCGTGGTGGTTAGAGATCAAGCTGAAGCACAAAGGAAAAACTGGGGTGTTTTTCAAAAGAACCTAATTCAACTTCCAGCCCACCATTAGCTGTGTGACCCTGGGCAAGCTCACCACTTGTCTGGACCTACCAAGTACTTGTCTGTGAAATGGGAGCACACCCACCTGCCTCACCTAACAGAATACAGAGGTCAAATCAGGTAAGACTGGAAACTGCTCAGCAAATCGTAACTAGAACCTTAACTCCTACTCTATGGTTCTGTTAACCGAAATAACCACAGCCAGTGCTCCTCACTTAGTGAATGGTTTAGTTAGGAACACAGGCTTTGGAGCCAGTCACAATGAGATTTGAATCGTGGCTCTGCTGTGTATGGTGTAACCCTAGGTAACTTATTTAACCTCTTTCTCCAAGCCTGTTTTCTCATTTGGAGATGGAGATAGTAACAGCACCTACATCTTGGGTTACTACAAGGAGGAAATATAACATGCACACAGGACTTATGACTATGCCCTTAGCAACTGAGGTTAATGACTTAGCAAGCACTCAGTAAAGGGAACCAGTCTCACCACGGCCCCATGACAGTCAGTCACAAGGAAAGCCATAAAAAAGAACCATTGTTGCTAATACTAGAGCTAAAGGAGGTTGTAAACGATTCTTCTATTTTTCTTTTCATTTCTTTTTTTTTTTTTTTTTTTTTTGAGACAGGGTCTCACTCTGTCACCAAGGCTGGAGAACAGTGGCACAGTCATGGGTCACTCCAGCCTCGACCTCCCCAACTCAGGTGATCCTCCCAAGTACCTGCGACCACAGGTGTGCACCACAATGCCCAGCTAAATGTTTTAGTATTTTTGTAGAGATGGGATTTTGCCACATTGCCCAGGCTGGTCTTCAACTACAGGGCTCAAGTGATCCCCACCCAACTTAGCCTCCCAAAGTGCTGGGATTACATGTGTGAGCTGCCGCATCTGGCCTGCAAATGATTATTCTAATACAAATACAAATGAAAATGACTCAAGGTTATCCCCAAAACAATGTTACTCTTTGATTGTTTTCATCCTTTTGAGCTTGTCCGAGCAGAGGTTAAGGGAGAATACGTCCTTGCTAGCAATTAAAGCAATCACTGAAAACACCAAGTGACATTCTTGTTCATTCTCTTTTCACATCAACACAATCAGAACATTCACGATATCTCAATCATGATTTGATGGGAAAATCCAATTTTTCAAGTATTTCAACAAAAGAAGGCATTGGGTCTTTAAATGACACCATAGCAAGGTGTTTTTCTGTTTTGTTTTTTAATGAAGTCTCTCTCTGTTGCCCAGGCTGGAGTGCAGTAGCGTGATCTCAGCTCACTGCAACTTCTGCGTCCCAGGTTCAAGCAATTCCCTGCCTCCTGAGTAGCTGGGATTACAGGTGTGTGCCACCAAGCCTGGCTAATTTTTTGTATTTTTCTTAGAGATGGGGTTTCACAGCAAGGTGTTTTATTTTACAGAGAACAAGCTTCTATTTCATTTGGGGCACTTCAGAAGCTTATCTGGGGCTGTTCTCATTGACTGGGCTGTGCAGGTTTAGGTGCCCATGACAGGCAATTCATTCAGCGTCAAGGGAGATGCTGCAGTGGAAGCTCAGGTCAGCCCACACTTGTGTTTCAGGAGGATCTTCAGATTACTCGTGCAACTCTAAAGCACCACCATCAGAAGGTTTTAGTTCTTAAAATTACAAAACAAAAATAAAAATGCTCTAAAAAATGATAAAACACAGCAATATGTTAACCTCTGTGAAATCTGAGAGGTAGATACTACAATGACTTTTTTCTCATACCCTTTTGTGTTTTGAAACATTCCATCATTAGCGATTTCTTTTAAAACATGATTTGTTTATCCATTCTACTACTGATGGGGATTTGGGTAGGTTCCAGTTTGGGGCTTTTATGAATAGTGCTGCTTCTACGAACATTCTTAAAAGAGTTGTGGCTTTTGCCAAATATATGTATGCATTTCTGTCGACAGTACCTGGTGGAGTGGAACAGCTGGGTCTTAGAATACACATATGCACAGAGTTAGGAGACACAAAAACACACAACCCTTAAACAGGAGAAGGCCTCACCATTTCCTACCCCTTCTTTTTTTAAGTTTATTTTTATTTATTTTTAATTTTTTATTTCCACAGGTTTCTGGGGAACGGGTGTATTTGGTTACATAAGTAAGTTCTTTTTTTTTTTTTTTTTTTTTTTTTTTTTTTGAGACGGAGTTTCGCTCTTGTTACCCAGGCTGCTGGAGTGCAATGGTGCGATCTCGGCTCACCGCAACCTCCGCCTCCTGGGTTCAGGCAATTCTCCTGCCTCAGCCTCCTGAGTAGCTGGGATTACAGGCACGCACCACCATGCCCAGCTAATTTTTTGTATTTTTAGTAGAGACGGGGTTTCACCATGTTGACCAGGATGGTCTCGATCTGTTGACCTCGTGATCCACCCGCCTCGGCCTCCCAAAGTGCTGGGATTACAGGCTTGAGCCACCGCGCCCAGCCATAAGTAAGTTCTTTAGTGGTGATTTGTGAGATTCTAATGTATCCATCTCCTGAGCAGTATAAACTGAACCCAATTTGTGGTCTTTTATCTCTCCCCCGAGTCCCTAAAGTCCACTGTGTCATTATTATGCCTCTGCATTCTCAGAGCTTAGCTCCCACTTGCGAGTGACAACATATGTTGTTTGGTTATCCATTCCTGAGTTACTTCACTTAGAATAATGGAAACAGTGTGAAGATTCTCTAAAGAACTAAAAGCAGAACTACCATTTGATTCAGCAATCTCACTACTGGGTATCTACCCAAAGGAGAAGAAGGCATTTCATGAAAAAGATATGTGCACACACATTTATAGCAGCACAATTCAAAATTGCAAAAATGTGGAACCAACCCAAATGCCCATCAATCAACAAGTGGGTAAAGAAACTGTGGTGTGTGTGTGTGTGCATACATACACACACGTGCGCACACGCGCACGCACACACACACACACAGATACACAATGGAATAGTACTCAGCCATAAAAAAGAATGAATTAATGGCATTCACTGCAATCTGGATGGAAATGGAGCCTACTCCTTTTTCAAAGAGGAACTTTCCTTCGAGTCATTTTATGTACAGAAGCCCCCAGGGCTTCTCTCTAGTGGCCTCTCAGCCCATGCCCTTCTACTCTCCTTTTCCTCTTAATTCAATCTGGTTACAAATATTTACTGAGTACCCACTATATAGCTGACATTGAACCTAATTCATGGAGGGGAATCTACAAGTCCCAGAAATCCTCAGAGTATGATTTAAGACAGCTGGTATATTAAATAGCTTTAAAAGCATTTATTTTACAAATAATAATCGGTATGGTTTGTATATTTATCCCCGCTCAAATAGCATGTTGAAATATTAATATAATCCCCAACATTGGAGGCGGGGCCTCGTGGGAAGTCTTTGGATCACTGGGGTAGAACCCTCATGAATTTTTTGGGCCATCCCCTTGGTGATGAGTGAGCTCTCACTATGTTCACAAGAGATCTGGTCATGTTAAAGTCTGTGGCACCTCCCCCCACCTCACTCTCTTGCTCCTGCTTTCAGCATGTGAAATGCCGGCTCCCACTTCAACTTCTGCTATAATTGAAAGCCTCCTGAGGCCTCCCCCAAAGCTGATACCAGAGCCGTGTTTCCTGGACAGCCTGCAAAACTGTGAGCCAACTAGACCTCTTTCTTTACAAACTACCCACCCTCAGTTATTTCCTTATAGCAATGCAAGAATGGCCTAATACAATAATTAATTCTTTGGATAGAAAGTGTGAAATTAGTCACCTCATTTTCTTTCAGAAAGTCTCTAAAATTCAAATTGGTGGGTCCAGATACCACCCTACACACATCAGTACTATAGTTTTTTTTATCTCATTCCACCCCTGACCCCACCCTCTCCCATACACACACCTACTCACTCACACTTTCTCTCATTCTAAGGTACCTGCTTTTCATTTCTCCCAGCATCTATTCTTTCTGAAATCTTTCATGTTACCTAGCAATCCACCCAAAACACACCACTAACTGAACACCGTGGAGCTATATGATGATCACCAATCTCAATGATGTGCACAGTAAGATGGAAAAAACACATGAACACACTCTGGCCAGAGCATGGGGAAGAGAACACCACAGCAACATTATCCTTGGCCAAGGGCTGCAACCTAGTTCTTTGGTCCAAAATAGTAAGACCCAAAGCAATTACACAAAGATATATGTATAGTAAATCTAGACATAATATTGTTTCTAACTTAAAATTACAAAATAACCCACAGTCCTTGATGTCCATGAACAAAGGAATACTATATGGCTAGTATACATGACATGGAATACATAAAATACACTCTAACGTGGAAATAGGAATATAATATACAGTCATAAAGGTAACCTGTAGAATATACATTTGATTTCATTTCTGTAAAATATATGCATAACAATGTTTGTTAGTATAATCAGGAGAAAAATATCTGGAAGAATATATGCAAACTTAACTGTGCAAAGGATTAGGAGAGTACTATTAGACATTTTTAGAATGAGTATGTGTCACTATCACAGGTTTTCTCAACCTCAGCACGGCTGATATT